GAAAGTGGCGGCCGTCCCGTTGCATGGCGTACGTCGGGATGTGTACGATATCGTCCCGTTTTACGGTAATACCGGCGCCGCGGAACTGGTAGTCCCGGTTTGGGCACCGCTCCAAGAATACAGTGGCCGGACTCAGCCGTAGGGTCTCCGCAATCACCGCATCCATGTATGGCAACGCACCCAACGCTTCGTAATTGTCCTCGGTCGGCTGGGTTTTAATCACGATTAATTACATATATGTTGAATACATAATTATAAACAAGGTTGTTTTTTTGTATACTTACGTATTTTTCACGGTATTTGACGGCCTCGGCGTACAGTCTTTGCTGGACATCCGGATCGGTAGCGATATAGTGGACACACATCGATATAGTGGTCGCTGTTGTCTCATAGCCGGCCAACTGTAAGCCCACGCATTGGGAGATCAGTTCATCGATGGTTAACTCTACAGACAAACCCAATAAATAAATACTAAACTCAAACAACTATAACAAAACATTCACTACTTTTGGCCAAATCGCGGGTCGACTGTATTTCTCTATACTTCTCGCCGTATTCTTCCTGTTCTTCTGCGGCCAACAGATCAGTCGTTTCGGTGGAGTCGAGCATCAGTTGCATAAAGTCCACCCGTTTCTGGCCATCAGTGGCTACCGATTTCAGCCTCTCTTCGATCACACAAGCCCATTTAAGCCATTTTTTCCCCGGCTTTAGCATACGGAACTCAGGCTTTTTGAGCCGGTGAAAGCCCCGCTGGTAGCGATGGTGATCTGCGGTCAGCAACAGTAATCGCTTGTGAAAAACCCGGTTTGTCACCAGCGGGTGATCCAGCATTGCGTCCACTTTAATGCCGAAGGCCACCCGAATCACCACTTCCATGGCGTAGGCGCCCAACACTCGCTTCATGTCCACTACCGGTGCTGTCGAGTGATCACCACTACTACCGGTTGGGCACAGTTTGTCCAGATTGGCGATCAAAGTGGCCCTACAGTCCAATATCATTGGTAGCATTTTCTTGAGTTTTCCCGACGAGAATGTGGGCGACATCGCCGTACGGACCCGTTTCCAGTGGTCATCCCTTAACACGTCGATCATATTGTCGGTGAGTTTGTCACCAGAGCGCAGGTCCTGTTGTTTTGGGTGCAAATTAGTTAAATTGTATTTTATTGTATACTTTTAAACATGGTTTTAATTGTTAACTCTGTTATCAATAAATACCCGTCGATTGTTGAATACGTGAAAGTCTTTGACCAATACGTCCCGAATCAGGTCCGGATCCGTGAGATAGAGCACCGGTTTAGTGGTCTCGTAGAGGCCGAAAGTCTGGCCCCGATTACGCCGATACAGATCCACTTCCCAGTCCTGCCATTGTTTTGTTAATAGCGTATAATAGCTAACGCTCTCTGTTTTTACGCCTTGTTTTTGCCAATAATCGCATTGCGATCGCAGATATCTATTCAATTAGTTTTAATTTTAATTATAAATGTGTTATAAATGTATTATACNCGCATTGCGATCGCAGATATCTATTCAATTAGTTTTAATTTTAATTATAAATGTGTTATAAATGTATTATACAATTGTTGTGTTCACTTACTTATTAATTAAATATACGGTTACAAACAGACCAAGTGTACCAATAAGTGTCCATTTAATTAGCGCTTGGTTGAATATGTCTAGTAGTTCCAACATGTTGCGAGTAATTTAATTAACACTAGAGTTATAATAATTAAGGCAAACAAAACTAAACTTTATATTTAAAGTTGTTTTACAAAGTGTTAACTGTAATAGTTTTACGGTATATAAAAATCCCAAAGTACCGTATTTATATACGAAAAATATTTTTACCATAACTGATAACAACTCGTATAATTGGTTCAGCAATTGATTCAATCAAAACATGATAACTATTATTATTATTGTAAATCAAACCGCACTTTACGTACCGGCGCTTAAAAGCCTGGTTTTAATCAATAGATAACAAGCAGGGCTAAAAGTGCTGTTCAATTGCCTAACCATTCGCTTAATTGAGTTAACGTTAAATAAATTGATAGAAATGAAGGTCAATCAAGTGTTGTATTTATCATGTGTGATATTGTGCGATACAGTAGGTCTATTGTTTGACCTTGATAACCACACTTGATGTACTAGATAACTTAAATTGGTTATACCATTATGCTTACAATCGGGTACACTATTTACACGTACACTATATGAGTATAACAGTTGTTATTAAATTAATTATCAAATAGGTATCAATAAAATTAAACAACACAGACATTAAGGTGATAATCACCACAACTGATCCCAAGAACCGCAGACATCGGAAACCATCAGCGATAGAGTGCGGGCCGTGAGGTCTGACCAGTTGTAAGGATTGGCCACATGTCTTGAGGACCAGATTTTGAGTTGATATCTGCCGGTAATAAAACAATTGATTAGATTTGGACACAACTCATGAGTTATTAACAGCACTTGTCTTTGTCCCGATTTGGTCGCACTCTTCATCCATCACTTCATTTGATCCAAACTTTTTATTACTGTTACTATTTAAGCAAACAATGAGTCTTATAATGCAGATACGTTTCGCCCTTCATTTATAGCCCTTTTGAGTACACCAATCGCTTCACTGCTGAGCACAACAACACATTGTAATGCATTAGTTTGACATCCATTTTAAACATCCGAATAGAGGTGTGAATGGGTTTTGCATATTAGCGTTGCCCCCATCTCTACGCCTCCACAAAAACGTCACGTAATTTGTGAACATATTGTGAGACAAACAGACGATTTGTATTGAGATTTGTTTTGATTTTGTCTTTGATTTTGGGATCAATTGTTTGTCAAATCAATTGTTGTGAACCGAAAGCGATGTCCACATCGATGGAGGTCGAGGTGGCGGAGGTCTGGGATTTTGGCGATGAAGACAACACCGGATCAGCTGATTGTGCGGTAAAGACGTCGACCAATGGATTGCCGGACAAGACATCCGCCAACGGATCGATGGCTAAGACATGGAGTGATGGCACGCGTCAGCCGAAGCCATCGCCCGAAGACAACGCTTCCGGCGTTTCGAAGCCGACGCGCGAAGATTGCGGTTCCGGCGATTCAACGACACATCCTTTCAAAGAGTTGTATGTTTTCGACCGAAACCACAACAAGAGGTCCGGCGATGAGGTGTCGGAAGCGTTGAATGGCTTTGAAAGTCACCACAAATTGGGTTCGTTTCGCATTGAAGACAATCACAGCTATAATGACGTGAATTGCGAACAAAATGTCGTCGTTTCCGACGAAGAGCTGAAGACAATCGAGAAAAT